ACGAGTGTGCGCTGTACTGCAGAAGGTTTGCTGCTTCCGAGAATTTTTATCGCCTTCAGAGATCTAGAACCCCTCGACAGCTATAGCGCGTGAAAGCGAAAAGTCGAAATCGGCCATTATTTTTGCACCAACCTAATACCCAAATGCTCACAGATATAGACGAATTTTGAAACGATAAACTTTTTAAGTAAGCAGGTTTGTTTTGAAAATCGTACCATGTCATTTACAAACAGCGTTTTCTAAGATAAAAGATCACTCGAGATAAAGGTAAGCAGTTTCATTATCCATTATGCATACAATACGGATCTATGACCTATCAAGAATAAGCACATACCCAAGTCTTCCAGATAACAATTAGTAAATGAATCGCATAGCACAGGGAAGTGTACAAGTAACAATATAAAGTAAAACGCATTCCGTAATACAATGGGTTATCGCAAGTAGACGTTTTAAAATGCCTCTAGAATTTGTGCTTATACAATTAGCTTTCTCCTTTGAAGCCCCTCGAAAAGAAAAAAATCCTATAAAGATGGCAATGTGCGCATTTGGACCCTACAAAGCACTGATTTGCAGTTCCCATCTGAGCAAGTTAACATGTAACAAAGCATAGAACAAGTTGATTCATAGAAATTAAAGCAAAAAAGAAGCAAGTAACAGCGATTAGACCCGAAGAAAGCACCAGATATGGTAAAATATCACCGCGATTGACGACAAACCTATTGTGCAGCGATACAAAGGTCTAGGTGCTCATTAATATAGAACTCAATGACCCGATCTCCGCAAGAGGGGCAATATACATGCTTACTCAAATTAACCTGATCAATTTCATCTAAGGCAGCAGTAGGACCGGAGGTAAGCTGGGAAGTTGAGGAAGGGTGGGAGGGTTCCAAATCTTCTGCTATCTCAATGGGACAAGTGGCACTGCCAAGTCTAGAAGAAGAGCTGCTTGGTAACAACCAACTGGGACCGGCTACCAGCTCTATGTCAATAATTTCTGTTGGTGCAGTCTTGACGTCATCTTTGGAAGATTCTGCAAAAAGTTTTATGATATACCAAGAAGAGTTA